CCCCCTAGTAGCGTCCTTGCTCCTAGTAGCGAGAGCTGGTGAGCCAAGGTGGTTTGGAGGCTTCAAAGTGGAGATTTAAAGCCGCTGTCATCGAAGCTGGCGACAGAAGTCTCGGAGCCCAGCCCCGAGCCCAGCGTCGAGCAGCCACTGAAGCCACTGGGGCAAGCGGAGCAAGTACCCAAAGTGGACGAGAGAAGCGATCTCGTGCCCTGGATGGCATCAGGGGGATTGGGAGCTCGATAGGGAATGTTTTTGAGATCGAAAGATGTGTAAAACACTGACATGACAGGGGGTCAGAGCTAATCCTCCAAGCCAATCCGGATTCACCATGGATTCGAGTTTATTCACTTTTGTGGGCCAATCTGTTCATATCCGTTCCACCCTGTTGCTGGCAATACTTATTGGATGCCGTGCCTGAGTCAGCGCCGCGAGTAGATTAGGCCATGGTGGCACAGACATTGTGTCAGCTCCTCCAGCTGCCGAGGTGGAGACGGCGAATGCACCGCCCATGCCTGACAAGATTGAGCCCTGGGAATCCGAAGAAAACTTTTCCTGCGCAACCATCATCTCCCAAGAGCTCTGAGCTATCGTGGCTCCGAGCTGATTGCCACCTGCGCGGGGAAACACTTCGAAATACTTTCTTTACCATCAGGAACGGTGTATATTGCCGAAACAACCGTTTTTGGCTCTTCAGGGAGTGATTTGTTTTGAAGGTCCTCTTAAGGAGTGTCCTTTTGATGGTCCTGCGGGCGAGTCTTCTGCTGAATAACTTACCTACGTTGTTTGTTCTTGATTCTTGACCACCTAGAGGAATGCATTGATCATGGTGTATTCAACTATGTGCTTTGAACTCTGCAGTTGGCCAAAACGTTCCCGGGATCCATTTGGATTATTTTTTTCCACCGTCCAGAGTCCAGAGTCCAGGCTTTGCCAGTAAGTGGTCTGCTTGAAACAGCATGATCTTCGGTGTTTATGCAGAGGGACACCAGAACAGCCTGTGACTTGAATTGTTAATGTCACGCCAGATTGGCAGCAAACCTTACCACCAATGTCTTGAGATACAATACATACTACATACATACAGTCATGGATACCATGAGTTTCATGCGACTATTGCGAGATGCATGTCATGCATGGAGTCAAATTCGCATTCATCTCAAGACATCTGGGGCAGATTAGAATGGAGAGGTTCCGGATCAACCCCGCCGCCGAATTCTGCAAGAAAAAGAGTTCTTTTGGC